AATGAAATTCAGCACATTGATTAATAGTGCAAAGATTTTCTGAGTGAAGAATACAATAGGAGTAATTTAAGGAGAAAAAAAAAATTACCATACACCGGGAAGGGTTTAAAAGGATATTAGTTAAATAATACGTGCCAAAACAGGAAAAACTTTTTTTTTCCTGGTAAAATCACTGAGGAAAGTATTTTTCAGATTAACTACTGTAAGCAGTTATTTAAAACTGCCACCGAAGTACCAAATCACCTCCACCTTGCCATTCACTTTCTAACAGGAGAATTTAGTTTTACATTTAAAGAAACCAATATGATTTACCACTTTCGCTGGAACTGTCCACAAAATCAGTACCGCGAATACGACGAGTGAATTTGCTTGATACAGGCAAGTTTCTTTGAGCAAAGATGTCATAAAAACATCAGTCAGAATAAATGACACAGAATGACAAAAGACTGTAGAAATGGGTGTAAACCTTTTAACCCATAATTCCAAGTGGAATAAGTATAAACATAAGAGCGTTCCCTCACAGAATCTGCCACGAAATAACTGAGGGTGGAGTCAACGGACAGAGAGGACAAAAAATAAATAAATGGCCACACAGGTATGCTCGTCTGGCTCTCTCTCCAGTCAGCCCTCCGAGGCCGGCGTCATTTTAGTTTCTCTGAGAACGTCCCGGCAGGACGACCGAATCCGGGGCTTGAAGGTCTAGTAGTTTAAGCGCCACTCTCCCCTTCGTGCTGTGGAAGGGGTCAGTGTCGGGGTAGAGGAGTTCCAAAAGGACACAACAGAGGAAAGGAGGCAATTCCTTGGCTACGTTCATCCTCTTCAGTCAAGGAGACGTTGTGCGCTGAGGAAACCTCCAGGGCAGGTACCAGACCTCGGCTGGGGATATGCATAAGCTTTTTGGGATGCGACAGGCCCTTCCCAGCCCGCTCTCTCCGGGAGACTCCGGGCGGCTCCAAGAAGCGGCGCGGCCAGTCCCCACCCGGTCGGGGAGCTACCACGGCGCGCGCTCTCTAGAGCAGGCCGTGTTGCCTCGGGCTGTGCGTCCAAGGAGTCCCCGCAGAGGTATCGAAGGAACTGTGCTAAGGCGGATAGCCCGCCTAACGAAGCCTGAGCTCATCTGGTACCTGAACGCTGGTGGCGGGACACGAAGCAAAGAGCAAAGGAGCACCGCCGCCGCCTCTGCCGCCACCGCTGCCGCCACCACCTTAACGAAACGTGCCCCAAAGATCTATTTGCGGAAACGGTTCCCACGTTCCGCGGTCTTTGTGACGCCACTTCCTGACGGCGCGCGCAACAAGCGCACACCCGACGGTTGCGTCTCGTTTCGACTCCATCTACAACTACAAGTCCCATGGTGCTGCGCGTGGCGGCGTTCTGAGGCTGCTTGTACATTGTTAGTAGGCGCGTATTTGGGAGAGGTTGCTGGGTGTCCCGCGTCCATCATTCTGGCAGATTCCGGCATACGGACCAGTCAGTATTGTCATTCTCCTGAGTGACACGGCGTGGCATCTGAGGAGCCGTCCTCCGGCACGGGCGTCGGCGGCCCTATGGTATTGAGAGGTAGCCTGAGCCGGAGATCTCCAGGGGGCAGCGGGAGGCCAGATAGTGCGGCCAACCCAGGGCACTCTGGGGAGGTGACCCTGGCTCGGAGAGTTTCCTGGACTGGGGCGAAGTCAACCGGCTAAGAGAGGGACATCTAAGTTTGTTGGCCTTGCCCCACGCTGAGACCGTGGGTGGTCGTGACCTCTGCTCTTCCCTGTCCGGCCCTGGGGCTCTAACTGGTTTCTCAGCTTTCAGCCCTCTTCTCTTCACTTCTGTCACTGGCTGAGAAGGTTGCTGTCCTGGGGCCGTTTGAATCAGCCTCCCGTCCCCGCCTCCTGCCCTTGCAGAGTCCTTTCAAAATGAGAAACATCTCTTTTTTCCCCGTTGGCTCTGCAGGTCATAGCCTCCCCCCAGCCCCACCCCGCACCTCTCCCCACCATGTTAATTAGAAAACTGTCTTTTGTTTCCCAGCAGAGGTGTTGGTTCCCATCTGGAGAATCTCCTCTGGGTGGAGTGTGCCTTGTGGATCTGGACTTGAGTGTGGGAGGTTTGTGTGTGCCCGCCATCCCCCCCCCCAACCCCTCCACCATTGCCACTGGCTTGTCATTTACTGTATACTGAAACTCGGGCCCTGCAGCTGAGATACAGACTCTCTGCTAGTGAAGAAATGGTGCCCGCTAACAGACCTGATTCAGAACTAGAAGTGGGCTGGTGCATAGACTTTGGCCCCTTTATGTTTGGGTTCTTGTGATCAGAGAGAATACCTGGATGGAGAATTTACCTTGTCACAATATAACCTCCACTGAGAAACCATCACTTAAGTGATTTTAATCAGATTCCTTGACAAGTGCCTGTCAGGTGTCAAGTTCTCAGTGAATGCAGGCGTCACCAAGGAAGGCTTTGAAAAATTCACTTTTTTTGTATCTATCATTTTGAGCCTTTTTCCATCTCAGCTGTAATCCCCATGGGGATTACACCAGTGTGCCATCATCATAGTCCAGTGCACTTCCTTCCCCTCACAGTTTTTGATCCCATTCCCCATTTCACCCCTGTAAAATGTTTCTGGTATATAGTTGTTCATTATTATTATTTTTTTCTCCCCTGGTCCCTTATACTCCTGTTATGAGTGAAACCATCTGGTAGTTTTCCTTTTCTTTATGTTTTATTTCACTAAGCATGATCGTTTTCAACTCCATCTATGTGGCTGCAAAAGGCATGTGTTCATGTGTTTATTTGTTTTGGTTGCTGAGTAATATTCCATTGTGTATATGTACCACACATCTTTTTAATATAGTCATCTGTTTTGGGGGCATATGGGTTGTTTCCATGTCTTTCCCATTGTAAATAGAGCAGCAATAAACATGGGGGTGCAGGTGTCTTTTTGAATCAGTGTTTTTGTGTCTTTTGGGTAGATACCTAGGAGTGGGATTGCTGGTTCATATGAAAATTCCTTTTTACCAGTATGAGAAATCTCCAAACAATTTTCAGTAGTGATTGTACTAATTTGGTCTCCCACCAGCAGTGCAGGAAGGTTCCATTTTCTCTACATCCTTGCCAACATTTGGTGTTGGTAGTTGTTTTAGGATGTGCCATTCTCATTTGTGTGCGATGGTCTCATTGTGGTTATAATTTGCATCTCCCTTACTACAAATTATGTTGAACATTTGTTCATATGCTTGTTGGCCATCTGCATTTCCTCCTTGAAGAGGTGTCTTTGTAGCTCATCTTTTAGCTCAATTTTTGATGGGGTTGTTTATTTTTGTTGAGTTTCATCAGTTCTCCATATACCTTTGTGATCAATCCTTTATCACTAGTTTTGTGTGAGAAAATTTTTTCCCAATCACTGGGGTGTCTCTTTTTTGTAATGTCTCTTTTGCTGTACAGAAGCTCTTTAACTTGATGTAGTCAGTCCAAATCTGCTTTCAACCTTCTGTGACACAAACATAAGAGACACCAAAGACTTTTCAAGCATTGTCAGCCCCCATTCCACGTTTACAGGTACAGCCTTTTGGATAAAACTCTTTGTCTAGGTCCATTGAAAATGTCTGATTGGGGTATTGGTTTTAGTGTCAAATCTGATCCATGCAAGGCCAGCTCTGGACAATGCGGAAGCAAGCTTTCATACCCAAATCAAGTTCAAAGCTCAAGTAAATGCTGAGGGGTTCCAGCTGCTCCCAAACAAATTATCCAGGCATAGTGTTGAAGGTAGAGTAGGGTCAGAAATAGAACTTTTATCAGACCCAAGCAGAATTCTGCCATACAACCTAACCAGGAGCAGCAGAGCTCTGCTCAACAACATACACACTACATAGCATTCAGATTTTTTTTTTAAGATTTATTTATTTATTCATACAGAACTAAGGTACAGGCCAGAGATGCGGAGGGTAAAAGGATTCACGAGAGACAGAGCAGGGAGCAGAACAGACAGAATAATGAAGTACACTGCTGAGGGGAGCAGCGGGCGGGTCAGGAGAGGTCTACCACGCCATGTGGATCTCCTCCCGGGCAATGGGGATTGAACTCATGCGGAAGTGACTTAAGATTCTTAATGCAGTGCTTTAATACACTGCGCACCCGGGGAGGGCCAACATTCAGATTTTGAGCTTACTGAATCTCTCTGAATTACCCATCCTTCACTACTTGGTTTCACTAAGAGACTGAGCGTTTTAGTGGTGGTATGTAAGGCACAAAGCTTCCTGCACACTAATTTAGGTACAGTACTTCCCTGACTGAGCTCCTCTGCAGTAGGAGATAATAAATTTCCTGAATTAAACGAATGTTACTATTCCCTGCACGAGCTTCACACAGAGACCTGAGAACATTTGAGAGAGAAGTGGTCTCTAAGGTGCAGGCACTTAGTGTCCAAAGCCGCTTCTACTCCTTTCACTCTCTGCTTAATTCTGACACCCATTACCAACTCAGGATTTCAGAAGTCCAATGTTACCTTCCCAGAATATTCCTGTTCCCGGGGCCCTCGGTGCCCTTGGTGTCTGGCTTGGTTGGTTGTACTTTTTCCCAGTGTCTCAAGGTGACAAGAAAATACCTGACAGTTTCAGATTTTCTGTGCCTGTATGAGTTTGTTACGAGGCCAGCACACAGTGTCCAGACATACAGCATAAGGAACCCGAAGAAATGCAAATAGGACGTGTGTATCCCCACTTCTTTTGTCAGTTCTAATGCTGATAGTGACTTTGTGGGAAAAGGTTGTAGAAGTGTTTGTGGGTTGCATTTACCGTAGGCAGGAGTTCCTGTGTAATTGATAGCAAGTGGCACTGTTTTCAGTGTTAGTCTCTCGAAAGTGAGGTTATTTTTTCTTTAACTTGAAGTCGCTCACTGAAGTTCAGCGGCTTAACTTCTGGTTGAACTTGTCTAACAGTCTCAGCACCTTGTCAGTAACGTCAAACCTTTGCCATTCCAGAGTTAATTCATGAAGTTGTGCCTCCTGTTTAATCAAGAATGGAAACGTCTGCCAACACAGAGGAATGTGAAAAGCTCTCTTTTGAAAAGGCAAAAGCATCGATAGGTACAGACACAGCTTCTTCTTTCGGTACTGATGAGAACACAACTGCTCCTGGGACTGGGCTTTCTGAAAAGGCTCCTACCTGTGGGCAAGTGGACAATGGAAGGAAGAG